GCGATATCTGGCCCGTGTGACCGGGGCCTCTGTTAGTCTGTAAGGTGCCACCAGGCTCCTATTCTGCTCTTGTGTCAGGGCTGTATCACTTCAGAGCAGAACCATCATATTGCTGTATGGAGAAAGGTAGGATAAAATGTTTACATAAATTACACAGGGAGATAATGCTCCCTCTAAGCTGTGGAGTCTTGTGAACAAAAATTATACTTTGTGAGCTACTGGCATTAAAGTTATGAGCGAGCGATTTGGCTACTACATAAATTAGCTTGCTCTGGAGCCATCCTTCCTGAGTGGAGACAAAAATGTGTGAGCCGGAGGCTAAAAAACTGTGAGCTTTCTCACACTAACTCATCTTACAGGGAACACTGGAGATAATGTGATTGATCTTCACATGTTCTTGGAGGAATGTATTTATTTCAATGCATCTTGAGGGGCACTATTATAAAATAAAAATAAGACTGTTTAACCCTTCCCTGCTGTTTCCCTCATCAAACTACCAGTCTCCTGCAACTTTTTTCCTACAAACTACAACAGTCTCCTATAGTTTTTGGAGACTGGTAAGTTCAGATGTTTTTCTTTGTAAAGTGTAGAATAGCACAGGTTACAGATGGGGACCCCATGTGACTGAATGCATTTCCAGTGCATGCATAAAGGAATTCCCATCTTTCAGAAAACTAGATGTTAGGAATATTGGTTAAAATGTTTCTCCCTGTTTTCTGTACTTCTATATGCAGGGAATTCGTTTGTTGAATATGTGTTTCTCCACATAAAGTGAGCCCTGTGTACAGTCTGGAGTGGCACAGCTAAGCCATAGGTCCACTATAGTGGAGCTGTCGTTGCCTTCTGCACTTGAATCACTTCTGTTCTATACCCCAATCCCTGCTGCTGACAGAAATGAAGCTGGACTGTTGGTAGCTGCAGTTGTTGCTCTGTGTTCATCACTTGATCCCCTTTTCTCTTCCCTTCCTCTACCACTTTGTCCAGATGTACATGGTAAGGCTTGCCTGGATTTCTTATGTTACTCTGTGAAGTATAAATTATAACTATATCTAATAGTAGTGTCCATGGCTTATGCTAATCATGACAGCAGCAGAATCAGGTCATCCACAACGTAGGATATATTTAAATGTGGGTCTCCCTAGATATGCAGCAAAATATGACTTTGTAAATTAACCAGAAACGGAAAGAGACCCCAAACTGGCCTGATGAGAACCCAGCATTCTCTAGAAGGCACAGAACACTGAAAATAGATAAAGGAAGAAAAGTTGGGGGAAAGGGCCTGCTCAGTCCCCAGGGAGTTTATCGTTTCTGAGAGACCAAGATTTTCAGGATATAAGTGTTCAAGAGTCAAAGCTCCCTGGCGAAGGGATCTTTGACTTTCCAGAGCTTATCCATGGAAAGTCTTGCTGGTCTCCAGAAAGTTTATAAAGTCCTGGGGATGAGAGATGTGTGCATGTAAGGAAAATTTCCAAATCCCATATCTTTCCCCTGATTCCACACAGGTCCACAGCTTATGACCATTTCTGATATAAAGTGGGTGACTTATGCCAATCCCAAAAGCAGCAAATACTAGGTAGGAATGTTTATGTATTCTGCAGGTACACATAAAAATTAACTATTGGGGGGGGGGAGAGACCTGGTCCGGACTGAACATGTTCAAGGAAGCATGGAATATTGAGAGCTGTTGAGAATCAATGCAGAGAAAATATTGTCATGTGTGCGGGTGTGGATTTCACAATCTTTAACCTTTTCTGCACTCTTTAATGTGCCTAAACGTATTGTTGATTTTAAATATTAACTGTTCCGCCATTCCAGGTCTCTGGGATCACTGCAGAAGTCACGTCACTTTGTTGAGGAATTGTAACCCATTCCTCCTCATTTTTATGTTGAAAAGGCAATGCATCCCTGTATTAGGTTTTTTCTGTGCTCAGAAGGGTAGGGCCATCATTGTGCTTAATAAGGGGATTTCCATTGTGTTACATATGCTATGCTGCTATTGGAGTGTGACAGTGAGTTAGAATCATTTTCCTTCCTGAATAATTTTTGCCTCTCTGCCAAATCAGAATAACATGCTGAGAGTTACTTGCTGTTCAGGAGAGTGTTGAGAATGGAGTGCCCCTTTAACCCCACGTGTGTCACGTGTCTGTGGTGAAGTGGGGGCAGGGAAATACATTCACTTTCTTATGACTTTGAATTGCTATAAAATGAACACGAACAAATTGGGGTTCCCATCTGGCTGTTCTGTGGGACTGATACTTTTCCTTGCACATGTGGAGGATAATATTTTAACTTTGAGAAGCTGGAATTATGGATATCTGAGCATCTTCTCTGTTAGTCTGAGTTACTTATGCTTTTTTCTCTCTTGGAGGTACTAAAAATGACTTCATTTGGTCTTATTTTTATGAAGCCTAGAAGACTAATAGATGTGGCATGTGCTGTACGTTTTGAATGAAGTAATTGTTTTGTCTATAATATATATAGGAAGATGGGCATTTTCATGATTTACAAATAGGCCTGAGCTATACAGAAATGTTAGGAGACCGCCTTGAACAGGACATTCATGGATACCAGCAGAAAATTTCTAAAATCCAAGTTCTTGGGACTGTCCACTTCTCTCTGTATGATAGCTAATGCAAATGTAAAATATAAGATCCCAGTAGAAAATGGATATAATAGAACATGACATTAAAATACAGATCTTTCAACTTCAGTGTGATGTAAGCAAGTAACATTCTATAACATTGATGGTGTTCTTAGATTTTGTGTCTTAAATCTGAGCATAGTCACATTGCTAAGTGTGATGGAAAGCTGAGATAGCATATTTCCAAAAAAGATAACATCTGTTAGGGTGCAGGTGTACCCTGCCCAACTTCATATTTCTAACACGTGCAGTCCTGTTACCACACAACAAAGGAACAAGGGGGAAAAGACCATTAGTGGGAGCTGAGGGGCCTGCCTGAACACAGCTAGGGCACCCTAATATAGATCACAAAGTGAGCTTTAGGAGTATAACTTAAATTCCTAAATAAAATAAAAACTTAGTGTT